TGTTAGTCAAGTGTATATATATTTTGGCGCGTTGCAGATGTTTTGGCAAAACGAATATATCGGTTGTCCGTCGGTGATGGTTATAAAAATTAGAGAAACCACTTTTATCCTTCAACTCTTCATTGAGAAAACGGTGGAATTTTGACAAATCATTTATTAGCGAGCCTTGTAACGTCCCCATATAAGCGCATAGTGGGTTTCCTTCGGTCGGCTTTCTCTCCGTTCTTTAGAAAAAGAGTAGTGTTACATACAATAACGGAATTCTGTTAATTAAGATATCTTTCCATAAGTCCCCGCTCACATAGCATTTAAAGAATTATGAATATAGAATAAAGTCCAAAGTCCGTCTGTATAGCATAAGCATGTTTCCTTTTTTTTTTTGATTACCTAGACAAGTGAGCAGACTGACGAGGCAGATCAAGAGAATCGGCAATTAGGAGTTAAGATTTAGTCTTTGACATGATAGCGGAGTAGAAAGAACTATCGCTTAATAAGACCCGAGCACATGCAGTATTGTTCACAAATTATATCGGACTTGAAAAATAATAATAAGAAAAAAAAGTAAAAATGATGTCCATTATGACACTTATTCATTGGGTGAAGAAGAGTTTGCGCGAAGATGGGGTAAATAAGCAAGTGAGTGTGTGTGTGTGCGTGTACGGTGACTTAACCGACCAACAGCTACAACAACCCAAACTAACGGACAAAGTAACAGGATAGACTGACCATAACTCCGTCGTTTTGGCGTCATATCAACAATACTTGTCGTAGGTTAAATTCTTTCGTCGTTTTGTAACGCAACGGAGTTAGCGAGGTTTTACAAACACAACACCAGCTCTAACAGGAAAAACGCGTTACAGCCTCTTTCTTAATATCTGCATGAGTTGTTAGTTTGGCCAATACAAGATCACGTTTAGTTCACCCCACAACGCTGGACAACCTAACCAAAAGCACACTACATTACACATTCACAACCTTCAATGCAACCAAGGTAAGGCTCTTATCCACTTAAGGTTTGACAAAAGGCTCCATCGTTTTCTCACTTAAAATCTAAGAATAAGTTACAATTGTTTCGATCCTAAGGCCTCTAATCGTATGGTTTACCCCATATTTCACGTAACTTTTAAAGGTGCCAACTAGCCTAACATTGATGCAGGAATTAACAGAGCTAATTCTCTCTTTTAGCTTAGAGACAAGTTTAAGATCGCTTCGATCGTATAGTAATTTAAAATTTGGTAATAGATTAAGAGCGCCTCGACGTTAAGGCTTTCATTTGTTTACTTTATCATATAAGATTTTTTTACATAGCTCATTAACGAAGCAGCTGGCGTAAGGGAACCTTCGAAGGGAATCACCTATTACAGGGTTCGATTGATTTCTCGCTACTATTTTGTAGGTATTGATAAAAAGTGTAATCATTCATGTAGAAATTAGCAGAGTTTTTCCAAGAATCAATTAAACCAAGTTATAAAAACCTGACGATTTTAAATAACATCTACCAGTTTTCTCTAGACTATCGTAGCGAAAGCATCATTTATTAATCAATTGATTGAATAAAAACAACAACAAAATGTTTAACAAATTATTAAAACTCTTTTTAATCGTCTCGCTTATTATGTGCATATTGGATCAACCTGTTGAAGCTCAACGCAGAGGTAAAACAAAACTACACTCATGCACTTACTCAAAGTGATTGATTTTTTTCAACTTTCAGGTTGTGGCCCAAATGAACAATTCACTCGATGTGGTACCGCCTGCGAACCGGCATGTAATCAACCAGCAGATATATTTTGTCCTGCAGTATGCCTTGAGAATGTCTGTCAATGTAGACAAGGATTTTTGAGAAATTCAGCTGGAAGATGCGTCGCACCGAGAGATTGTTAACGATAAAATAAATTTCATTTCGCTTCAAGTTTTACGTAATTCTGAAGAAAGATAGCTTTGCCATAAAGAAAAAAGGATGAGTTTTTATTATGCTTCGTTATATGGTACGGAATTTGAATGAATTCGAATTAATTCGAAAAGTTCTGGCCGTTGTTTTCTTACTTAAAGCGTCTTTAATTTATGGTTGACTCGTGTTCTTTTCTGCTTAGATGTGGAACGACTCTTGCTAATCGATCTCGCTGCGACAATTACTTCTATCGAATATATTCAGCTCTTTTTTTACCCGATGTTGAAATAACAAGTATACTTTTACACGAATTTTCTGTTGTAGCACGAATCCTAAATAGAAAGCTTCTTAATTTTAATTTTGACCATGTCTTAGAGAAACTTATGGATACACAATCCATGATTTGGTCTTCTGCATTCTTGATTTGAACCAAACCCAAAAGTTGTGCTGATTATCTGCTAAAGATGATAATTATGATCCAGTTCATAATAAACGTGCACGCTTGCCATCCAGTCACAATGTTGAATTTACGGACCGAATTTTCACTGTAAACTAATTTTTGTTTTTTTTTAACGAAATCAATTTTTTTTTTTTTTTTACCGTGTACAAAAAGTCTTGCGTGTAGTTAGCAGTACCAAACTTTTATGGCAAATTTCTTTTTTTGTTTAGTACGACAAATCATTTAGAGAGCTTCTCCCAATCATATAACACGATGATGGTTAGGAAGATGTAACGATAGAGATCGGGAGTGAACGCAGTGAATTAAACGCGTTACAAAACCCTAAAGCATGATCTATTACACTGACATTGAATACATGAACGCTGTCGTAGTAGTCGCGTTACTTATCTATTCGACTACGCGGTGGCCTAATACCCACCACTGAAGGGTGGACGTACATTCTTTTTGTGAAAACGTTTGCAATACCCTGCCAGAAGCTTCAGCGACCTTACATATAAGGAATTGCTCTAGAGCTCAGCCCGTCCGCCTATCTCTTTATTAACTGCTGTGATGAACGTGCTCCTGATCGGAAAAATGAAAGTAAAAATAAAAAATTTGACGATAACCTAAACCATAGAAATTTAGTTTTCTTTAGCCACTTTTAAAATGGTGTTGTTGGATATAAAACTTTCAGTCAGAGTCGAACATAATTTTCTTACTTCTTTTATTTGCTTGTTATGACTACTCGCTCAGGGTAAGTCTGCTTAAAGCGTAGAGTGATGATGATCAGAAAGAAATGGGAAAGTGAAGAATATAGGAAGTAGCCGCGACATAATGGATGTATACCTTTACGGACTGAGCACTCATTATAGCTACGACCAATTATGACCAAACCGCCTTGAGTTTTGTGTCTGCACGCACCTACTTGCTAGAAATGTCTATGTGGCAGGTCAGTTATGCGGATATACTGAAGACAGAGAATTGATTGTTGTCACTGTTTTTTTTTTTCTGCAAATAGTCCTTACAACTGGTCTTAGCATATTTAGACATGATAGGTATAGATAAACTTTACAAAGCCGAATCCATAAAGTGCTTTTAAAATCAATAACAATTAATGAAAATGTTCTCATTCGCATTCGAAGAAACCGGAGCCACGGCTATGCCAGCAGATTTAACTGTGCTCCCTTCATATGCTCTTAAGTGTCTTTCACGTTTCATTATGAAAAAACTATTAAACAAAATAGTTCTTCGACCAAGTTTTTCCTCGTGAGCCGAATTACTAAAAATGTTGTGCTTATTGTGTGTGTGCGTGTGTGTTATGACGGCATATCGTGCATATCAAAAACGTTATAAAAAATTGAGAAAAAAAAAACACCTTCAATGGTTAAATGATTCGTTTCTTCCAAGTCGACCTTCATTTTTGAGTGATGGACAATTAAGTGCGTCTATGGGTTAATCAAAATGTAGCTTCCGTTATACAAATTATTAATGAAATATATTTTATTTTTTTAATTTCAATTTATTCTGGGAATTTTGCGGTGGCTTTGACCGCTCGTAAACCTTTTCCCGTAGATAATGAATATTATTGATATTTTCTATTATCAGCCAATAAATTGCATATATTTGCTAATAATAGCAAAAACAAAAAAACAAAATCATCGTCATCTCGTTTATGGGGGAATTTTTTATTTGATCTCAACGTTAGAAAAGTAGAAAAGTTTCGATTTCGCAAGTAATTTGCAACTTTGATGTTCGCTTGAAACAAAAATTATACTTTTAAGCTTTACCAGAGACAATGCGATACAACAAGACGACGTAATTTTCCGGGTATTGTTTTGCAATTAATATCGCTAAAGCAGAGATAAATTAGTTTACCGACTTAAGAATTTAATGCCTATGTTATCTAAGTCACAGCAAATGTGTGTTCACTGAGAGAGTAACACTAATCAATACAAATATTTTGAGTAGGTTTTTTTCAAGTTACCTATTTTCGACGCATCAACATTAGATGAGACTACACTAGTTGGTTATTCCGTAAGAATCTGATCAAGCTTAAAGTTTAGAGAATTCACGACCTGCATTGCATGGCATTATATTACAAACGGAATAACGGCTTGTTAAGAATTTTTTGTCGGAATTTATTTTATTATCATCTTAAACGATCCCGTAACTATTCAGAACCGATATCGACAACGTTTTGCCGGATCTCGAATTCTTGATGTTATTGAAAGCGTTTATTTGTCGAGCAAGATGGTCTAATCAAGTCCGTCCTTCGACTCTGTGGGTGAAACTTCAGCGGATTCAGGTATTGAGGTCGACCCTTGGCCCATATTTTCCTAATTGCGACCATAAACGAGGGAAACACATCTTCACTCGCAAACGTGCTGCTATCGTTAATAATTTACGGAAAAATGATTAGCATGAGTACCTAAAGTTTAGCTGCGACAAAAGTTCACATCCGCCAACTATCAACTGACACCTAAGAGTACGTAATTAATATAAAGAGTATATTATTATCGAAACGATGAATACTCGAGATTAATTTCAAGTATTTTACAAAGTCACTATCAAATAGATTCGCTTTTAAATATTGATGCATAGTATAATCATTTATGTAGAAATTAGTGCACACTGGTGGGCTTTTCCGAGAATCAATTAGAACGAATTATAAAAACATGATGTTTCTTTACAATTTTTATTAGTTTTCTTTAGACTGTCGCAACGAAAGCATTATTTCCTAATCAGTTAATAAAAAAGTAGAAGCAAAATGTTTAACAAGTTATTGAAAATCTTTTTAATCGTATCGGTTATTATGTGCGTACTGCATCATTCTGTTGAAGCTCAATCCAGAGGTAGGTTAGGAATATTCTTATGTACTTACCCGAAGTGATTCAATGTTTTAAACTTTTAGGTCGCCGATGCGGTCAAAATGAACAATTCACCCAATGTGGTAGCGCCTGCGAACCTTCATGTAATCGACCTCGCGCTCAAGCATGCACTTTACAATGTGTTATAGGCTGTCAATGTAGTCCAGGATTTTTAAGAAATTCGTCTGGAAGATGTGTGACACCACGTGAGTGTCGATGATAAAATGACTTTTAATTCCTGTCTAGGTTCAAATAATTGTTAATAAAGATTTTTTGTGAAAATTTAAATTATTCTTGGATGTATATGGTAGGGAGTTTGAAGGATTACGAATCAATCGATTTAAGTTTTCAGCTTATATATGTAGAGCGATAAATGAGGTTTTGTGAAACAACGTTTTGTATGTGAAACGAATTTCTTATATACATATATATATATTTTAATGCGGCCAATTACTTATGGGGTTTCCCCTATAGGTATAGCGAGGTGTTAATCAGAAAGTTGTGAGAGAAGAGAAAGAGAGAGTGCGATACTAGATTGGTGCTTGCATAATTGGTAAGTACGGTACGTTTGTCGATTTTAAGCACCCGCTATTGAGGCGACCAAGTAGGCTCAAACTGCACTAAAACTTGAACCCGTGAACACTATCATGATAGTCGTGACTCCAGTCTATTTGGCTGTGCGGCACTTTGGTTATGCTGATATAGACAAGACAGCGAATTATTATAACTGAAAATTACGTTCGAATATAATGGAATTGAGCTCTCATGCTTTTAGAATGTAATAACTCCTTTTTTATATTATACTTTGCGAATAGTCTCACCACCCGAAATAGATATAGCGTAACTCAATAAGTGAGTGTGAGTCCAAAAGCCATCGGTTACGTTGGTCCTTAATATAAAGAAATCGATGCCACGACCGGCGATGCCAGCAAATGGACCTATGTTCGCCTTACATACTCCTGAATATCCTACGATTTTCACAATACGATTTTCATAGTAGAGAACTTCGTATTTCAAACGAATCTTTCTATGTTGAAAATGCTGAACACAACCTACGAAATGGCTTGCATTTTAAAGACGTAGAGCTCCTGCAGTAGTAAATGTTTCGTGGTTTGCTAGCCAACCATTATTAAGTAGGGATAAATCAGAAGCTGATATTCGAAAAGCATCGTTTCCAGCGGAGAACGTTAACACGAACATATTATTAATATGTATGTACAACTTTGTAATTGTGGGCATGAACACGATTACCATTGAGGAGATGAGTTTTAAAAAGCAAATGGAATGAATATGTTTTTCTTATCCATTAATAATAAATAATTTCGGTATGGAATTCATCGGCGCTCGGCTGCTTCCGAGCAAGTTCAGTCTTGTTCATCATTGTATCAGGTAAACGTTATGGTCGAATGAAGCCCTTATTATCTGATGCAGCTCTCTCCGATTTTTCGGGCGCCAGTTGTGGAGATGTAAAACACAACTTGCTAAAAAATCTCAAGGCCATAACCTAATCTTTTTGCTAGAAGCACATAATCATTTGCAGTGGAGGGCAACCTTAAATTCCACAAAGTAGATATTGACGAGAAGATTGCTTTTAGGGCAGTCCAGTAGAGAGTGCACTTGCTGTAAAGGAAGCATTTTTTGTTGTACTTGTGTTATGTTCATATAGAATCCAAGAAATCTTTATCTCTGCGAAGTGTGCTAATTAGCGCAAGACTTTAGATTTATACCACCACATGGTGTGCGTATGTGGCTTTGTGTTGATTGTCAGTGCATTCCTTATTAAGTCGTATAAAAAAATAATCCTTTACAACTACATCCATGAGTTGAGTAGCGCAAGCTAAGGTAAAAAGCAAACAAGATTGTCCTGCAGACGTGAGGGTAAAAATGAAAATTTTAGAACAATGTCGAAGGGAAACGATAAAAACGAAAAAGAAAAAAAAAACGCAAAGTATTCTTAACAATTTCTCACCCATGTTATGTATTTCATAATTTACTTAAGATCAGCTTCAAAATGAATTTGAAAGCTGAGCGAGTTTTTTGCATTTATCGCAAGCAGCAAATTCTTCTCAAGGCAAATAAAAATTTCTAATGAATATAATTTAAATTTTATTTTATTTTTATACACATATCGTTCGATAAACTGTTTGCTTTTGATAATCCAGAAACGGAATGTTGTTGCCTCAGGTTATCTTTTAGTTTCGATTTTAATTCTCTTAATATATATAAAGTGGCCGTAAGGAGAAACTTTTATAGCTTATATGTCAATATGATAAACATTTCTATTAAACTAATATCAACATAGTTTTCATTATGTTACGGCTGGCTACACTAGATAATTAAATCTTTTAAGTTAACCGGGTATCAAAAAAATAAAAAAAAAATACAAATTTTTTTTTTTTCCAAACATTTTTTTATCTTTTTTTTTGTTATATGTCACGTTAACGCTTCATATTGTTGCATATGTTGTAACAATAATCCAGTTTGAACTAACGTAAATTTTTTTTTCGCACACGCACATTCATACAAAGAGAAGTAAACGCAACAAATTTCACTGAAGAAGCCAAAAAGAAGAAGAAGAAGAAAAAACACTGATGACAAAGTGTTAAATTTTACCTCATATTTCATTTTCACATGGCAGAATGCTTTATCGCATGGAAAATATCTCACATCGTATGCTTGTAAGTCAAAGATCGACATAAGCATAAATGCATATGGATTTAAAATCGTCTTATTATACGTACATAGTAAATGTGGCTAATAAATGAGATTATTAATTGGCGACTTGAAAAACTAAGAAAGTAAAAGAACGCAAGACAAAGCTTGAAACGAATCTTAGACACCCAACAAGAGGGCATAAAAAAATCAGTGGAAAATATGTTTGCAAGGGAGACTTTAGTCAAATTGCTGAGTAATTTTACTGACTGAGGCTTTCTTAGTCTGCAATTTCAATTCTTCGCTAATAGTTTCTAAAGTTACGTTAGTCTGAAAATGAATGAAATTTCCCAAGAAAATCCATAAAGGTATTTAACGGAAAAGTGCAATTTTGAGAGCAAAATTACAAATTCTCTCAATGCATTTTCCCTTAGCTACCTTTACTTTATTTCTACAAACGGAAAATGGAGATATAGAGACACAGAGAGACAGAGAAAGAGAGAGAGAGAGAGAAAGAGAGAGAGAGAGGGTTTAAAAAATCTTTTTTTTTATATTTGAGATGGTTCTAGCAGAATACTAAATAGATATGATTTCTCCACGAATTGTGAGCAGCAACCAGGTTGCCCGTCTTTTCGAACTTGCACTGTGTGCATCAATGCCTAAATTTTCAGCTTTTTCAATAGCATACCTTAAAGCCATTAGACTTTCAAATAAGCTGACAGCAAGACAGCCATGATCAAATTTCTGCACTAACGCAAAGATGGACGTAACTAGATTGAGTCAAAGTCTTCCTTCTCTCAAAAGTAAAGTAAAATGTACTTGATAGAGATGAATATAAATTTATCAAGCAGAAAAGCATTACGAAGCAAAGGAAGTGTGTTTTTCTGTCGGAGTAGAAAGAATTTCTTAGAAATATATTTCTTCGTCAAAGGCGAGGCGGAGATGTTTAAATTTATTTGAACCGCAATCCTCAAAGGTAAATATATTTGAATTTTTGTTTTGATATTGAATTGATTTCTCCGCTATCGTTAATATGCTTCAATAACATCATATGGCAAACTCCCGTTAACTATATTAAAGTTTTCTATTCCACTTACCACCTTTTTGAAAATTCCTACAATGGGCGAGCGGAAGAAACGGTTGCAAAAATGGATCGGCAAAAATAGATGAATTCTTCTGGAATTTTGCTGTTGCGGAATATCGTTACTACAGGCAAAGCATCAACTCCTAAGCACAGTCCATAAATTCCCATAAGCACTCGCAAGAAATGACACATCACGTAATAAGTACCCGTTTTGACACCGAATGATATGGCAACACTGTTGACTGATCAATATAATTTTTTGATGATGCCAAGCTTCGCTCTGATGATCTGAATTTGGCAGTTGTTCGAGAAGGAATCAAAAAAGCTCATCGATCATTTTTCTCACAGTTTAAGCGAAATAAAAAGAAGATTTTCAATACGATAAGTGACAATGGATGAAACACATCTTTGTTCTCATACCAACTGTACGGCGACTAGCGCGAGAACCGTCCCAAGCGAGCAAAGAAGCAGTGTCACTAAAACCACTACAACTAATGATGGAAATCTGATGAAAAGTTGTCATCTACCTTTTTAAGGTGGGTACTATCAAGAAATCATAGAGGTCTACCAGCACTATTGACATGTATGTGTCAGATCGGAGACTTATTTAGTTTATTTGCTATAATATTTTGCCTGACATTCCGGTAGGATACTAAAGAAGACGTGGGAATAGGAAGAATTGAAAAAGAACTAAATGCAATAAAAACAAAAAACAATAAAGGAGCAAGAAGAAGACAACTAAACCAAGTAAAGGAGTAGGGACAAAGAGAAATCCCATTAAAGTGAATACAATGAAGGAACAGTGAAGAACTGAAGAGACGAAGAAAAGCACATCCAAAACTCTCATGCTGGCTAAGAATATTGACCGACAATACTTCTCGTTGGATGGTTAGGGTACATAAACTCTTTATGGATTAAACAACGTAATAAATTTAATATGACCCTTGTAACAATCAGATTACAATATACATATTTTCTAATGAAGTTACAATCGAGCCGAGAGTTTTAGTCGATCTTCTCCTAAGAATAACAAAGACAGCAACATAATTAACTTACTTTTATTATGATGCTCTACTGAAAATATCATATTCTCGCGTTTGTTGCTTTTTTGTTTTTTTTTTTTTTTTTGTTTGATAAATAAAAAAGTCATATCGCTATTGGATTTTCTTATCATTTATTTGGCTACCAAAAGTGCTCCAGTTTACCTAAAACAGTATTTCGCAATTACATGTTGAACGGTTTTCTTTTTTTGCGCGCTTTTTTTTTTCTGCAATGCGCATATATACGCTACACATAGACAACATGTTTTGCGCAATATATATATATATATATATATGTATATGCATTTATATATATATATATATATATTATGAACATTTGAATTTGGACCAGTTTGAGACAAAAAAAAAATGCGCTTTTTTTTCTTAATTTAAAAAAAAAAAGAAGAAAAACTTACAAACAAATACTAAGAGTAAAGTACTAGCATGGAGGTATATATTTAAGTATAGATGAGTGTATACCATATGCTGATTATATGTTTAAGTAAATAAAA